AAAATGTCGGAGTTTGTACTCATTATTGTTTCGAAAACGTTATGTTTTATTTTACACAACAGTGTAACCTTTCTTGAATTACTCTTGCACAGTAGGATGTTTCGGATGATTCAAAATCAGTGGTCATGGTTAGACATTCCGAAGAAGTAATATAACAAGCTGCACATTATCCCTATTGTTGCATTTACTTTCATCAGTACAAATACTCTCCCAGAGTTTTATACACTGCTCTAAGATGGGACGGCAGTTGCGATCATGCAAAGACCTTGCGGGACATGCATTTTGAAGATAATTTAAAAGACGTTATTCCATTTGCACAAACACAGCTTGAGATTGTGTCCAGTGGTGACATTGTTTGGGATGAGTGTACAGTCTAACATCAACAGCAATAAGCAAATAAGGAAAAGGAGTCAGACGCTACGTTCAACCAAACAGCAAACTTATTCTCACATGGGAGGCATTTCTGAGAATTGACGAGAACAAGACATCTTGAACATGTTATTTCATTTGAATGTGGGTTTAAATTATAAACAAATTATAAGCACACACAGCAAACAGGTTTTGTGCAAATAAATAGTGTTGTCAATGATCTGCATCCGTGTTCAGATAAAGAAACTGACACAAATTTTGTTTGCTCATGTCAAATCTTGCCAGACAGGTACGTTTCGAACAGTTGGTACTGATGTCATTGACCTGGCCATTGAATTGTTTGACAGTATAGATAGTGTCTCACCTCTGGATAATTATTGGAACTGACAAACAATTTACATATCTGGCCTTATTTGGGATGTACCAACCCAACAGAATGTGATGAACATGATGCCAGTCATCATGGACTTAATGTATGGTCGGACCAGCAGGAGATAATGAGACACACAAAACGTTATGCTCTTAGAAAGGTAGAGCAATTGATTCCATTCCTCCATCAGCTGCTTTGTACCAACATGTCAAAAGAGCTGCATTTCAGGCCGGCCCCTGTTGGGGATGGGTAATATCAGTAGGACATGGCTATGAACCTTTCTGGACAACAGTATCATGTGCTTCTAAGTCATGGCAATAGCTTCTGAGATGTAGTTGTAAGCCTGAGAGAGGGTGCAGCGCAAGGCGTGTCTGTGTTGTGCCATATTTACGTAGTACACTAATTGTACACCACACTTATCTGTCAATAGCCAAACCATTAGATATGTACAGCATGTTTCAATCAAACAAATTCTCTTCTTTAAACATTCTGTTGTTTAACATATGAGAATACAAAATTGGTGTTGTTATTTCGCTTCAATTTATTGATAATATATAATAACTTCTTGTCACGATATGGCTGAAATATTGCCGATGTGACGTTAAATTTAACTCACTCACTATTTCGATTTAATGATGTATGTCTTAAAGGTATGTCGAAAAAGAAAGAAATGCATATGCTTTCGTTTTTGCACACTTAAGATTACCTGAATCAAAACAAATAGTACACTCAAATATAGTTAATATTTACTTTACAGATGTAGTGTTGGGTAAATACATTGCAAAATGTTCATTTTTCATAATAAATGTGCGTCATGTTCATATACTAGATATACTAAAATTTCATATCTCCATGGCGGCCATATTGGATGTCTTTTGGTGACCCCCATAACTGAAAATATTTGGAATGTCATTACCTACAACTGTGCCACGTTTCACGCTTTTATCACAAATCACGATTTTTCACAAAACGGCTGCGTTAATAGTACGTCGGCGGCGTAGGACGTTGCTCATAATATCAATCACTGGTTTGTCTGGTCCAGAATCGATCATATATACAGGCTGCTGTTCAATAGATGGGCGGGCTAGTGCAACATTAATCAACAAACGAAAGAGTATATACCACTATGTACAATATTTCACAATACTTACATATATATTACCTTGGTAATGTGACGTCATAGTTCTCCTAAATGTTATGACGTCACGTAACTATATGTTACTACTTCATGCCCGTTATTCAGTTATGGCCCGATACGTGGTACTAGGCGAAAGCGCTAGCCAATTAAAACTGTGTTCAATCTTACTCCACTTAATTATTTATTACAAAATCGTGCCTGAGAGTTAGCACTTTACTGTGCTCTCTCTCTCTCTGTGACCGCCTCCGTGGTCTAATGGTAGAGCGTCCACCCGGAGAGCGGAAGGTCCGGGGTTCGATCCCCAGCCGCGTCATACCAAAAGACGTTAAAAGATGGTAATTGTTGTTACCTTGTCTGGCGCTCGGCATTAAGGGGCTAAAACAAGGACTGGTCGGCTCGGAATCAGTATACTGTGTCTGAGTGGGGTATTCATGTTAAACTGCGGCATGGTATCTCAGTGTGCTAACACTATAAATCGGCATCAATCCGGACTAGTACAAGCAGACACACACACACATATTCACATCCTCTCTCTCTCACTCTCTCTCTCTCTCCCTCTCTCTCTCTCTCTCTCTCTCCCTCTCTCTCTCTCTCTCTACATATATATATGCATGTGGAGCTCAGGGACTTTGTTTCTGTGCAACATAGAGCTTACTGTTCAACAATCCTTATCCAAAGTTTCCTTTCACAGTTTTATGTCCAAAAGAGAATATTTCTTACAGTATCTGACGTTTCACAACGTGTAAACATCAATAATTCAAAATATATATAAAAAACATCATTTATCTATCCAGTTGGTTATTCGTTGAAGAAATACAACAACATTTCCAATAATAAATGTTCAAAGCAACCTTAACGACCGTTATGTCCTTTTGACAACCATTTAGTTTGTGTTAGGTGTTCCCACAAGATGCATATAATGACCCTTCTTCTCTTTGAAATAAGCCATTTCGATACCCTCGCTGTATACTTCTATGGAGGTCAAAACCCATCGTTCTTGTGAGGACAATACGTCTGTATATCTGAATTGTATGTTAGTAGGTAGGAGTGGATGCTCTCCAACTGCTTAACAATATTTGACTTTTAATTTCAACGTTTTTGACCCATCATAAACCAGAACTTGAGTCGTGCTTGAGACCTACCTAAGAGTGCTCAAGAGTTTTCTGGATAAGAAACAATCGTTCACTCTCTAGTATCAGATAGTGGGTTGTAAACCTCTTCTGTATGCCATCGATGAGATACAGGAACGTGCATATGTGTCTAAATATATGCTTGTAACTGTCTAGACATACTTGACCTCTTACATCGTACATCCAAAATGTGTGTCATTAAGTATGTGTTATTTATGTGATATTACTATGTCATAAACAACACTGACATATGACATGTATAGGGGATATTTATGTTTTAAAAAATATGGAACATGATTAAGTGGACTGTCAATGGAGAAGGTACATAGCAGCATCACGTACACCTTTACCTATTTGGAAATGTCCCTGCATAATACTGAACTGGCACAAAGAGTTTTCTTACGAGAAGTCTTTATTTCCAATGTCAAATTTTATACAATAATTCTGTTGACTAAGAGAAATGTATGCATAAGCAAGATGTATGCACGTTTTTTTCCCGTTAAACTGTGAAATTGCCTCTGTTTAAATAAATGTTTGTTTGTTGTTTAACGCCGCACTCTGCAATATTCTAGCTGTATGACAGCAGTCTGTAAATAATCGAGTTTTTGACCAGACCATAAAGTGTGTGACATCTTAAACATAGATCTACGTAATTGGGATACGATGACATGCACTAACCAAGTCATCGAACCTGACCAGCCGATCCCGTTAGTCACATCTTACGACAAACATGGGTTGCTGAAGACCATCTCATCCGAATCTTCACGTACAAAACCGTTCATCGAGATACCACGATGATATATTTATTGGAAATGATGTCGTAGCAATTTGACGCCCGAGACCATACGAAGACGAGAAGAATTAATGCATTCATCAAAACATGTACATCAAAAAGGCAGATTAAAATTAAAAAAAACCCAGATCTACACAAGTAAATGAACTACAACAAAAGCATGTAATTGATAATTAATTCATAATTCAGTACACAGACTAGTTTCCTCGCAATATTGCAATCTAACCCCGGACCTTCCGCTCTCTGGGTGGACGCTCTACCACAAGACCACGGAGGCGGTCCAAATAGGTTATAACCAAAATAGCCTATCTTCACATGGGGACACGTAGTTTATAGTGTACATACACAATAGAAAGGCAGTGATATGTCAGAAAAGTATAGGTTGACAAGACGGAGCCAATATACATTCTAGACACACACAATCGGACGTTGACACATAGTAGTAGAGATAGGAAAGTAAAATAATTTATGAACCCTGCAAATTATTATCAATTTCAGTAATACATAGATTTATGAGAAGATTAGTGCCATTTGAAGAGAATTGGTTAGTTTTAACTCTGACATGACTCGTGTTGACCAAGAGCCATGTTATTTAGAAATAAGGTTGAATGAGACAGCGTTAACATACGTATAAAGCACAGCAGTATTGGATCTATCAGATGTTCATCCCAGCGCTATAAAAAAGGTATTCATTGGTTAAGTGACAATGATATATCAATAATACCACTCGTTCAAGTATAAATACCGATGTCCTAAACCATGAATGGTGACCTAATAACATAAAACATGATCCCGGCAATAGAGCACGGTGTCCCATTGCAGTGACACAGCCTGTTCATCAGGGAGCCGTAGGTGTAGCAAAGGTGGCTCTTACCCTACCACAAGAACAGATAATGGCCGTTCCATGGAACGAAGATCTAATCTTCTAACGTCTCGAACACAAACATGCTTCTGAGGTGGCAACTCTTTGTGCAACGCGTGTACGTGACAATAATATCGGTCTGTGGCGAATCTTAACACTTGTGCTTTTTATAACTTCTCGCTTTACAAAACGCTAATGTATGCGATCAATAGATAGCTTTATTCATTCGGTACACAACACCATGTTGTTGGGGATATACCGTTATCCCTGATTCTCGAGATTCCATTGAAATCCGTTGAATAAGACACCGCGGTGGGGTTTAGCTTTTCAGTATATTGGGCAGGGTAAGAAAGAGAGTTGGGAGAGTGACAGCTTGAGAAAATCAAAGATCGCAAACCAGGTAACATCTTTGCATGCTGTTTGGACGTTCTTTAATTGATCAACTCCTTGACAGAGGTATGTTTTTTAGAAAATTTAATTTTTTACTAAAGGTAAAACTTAATATACAAAACAGTATCAACACAATTGTGGAACTGCTTACATTGTACTTCTAGATATGTCTTAGAATTCCTGAGATTACGTTTGGTGTTTCTCGCTTCGTTTCCATGAATTACTTCATAGACAATGGCGGCGAGTGTTATTGGAGAAGTGGTTTTGAAAGACTGCTACATATTTTCTGATACGTGAGATAACGTTTGGCATTTTCGTTTTTCTTTTCCATGAATTACTTTATTGACAAATGGTGGCGGGTGATATTTGGCAAGAGTCGAGGGATAGTTGGTTGAGTTTTGTGGGTTTGGTAGACCCCTACACTGTTTTAGTGTGTATATTTACAAACATTTCTATTATAGGGTGATAATGATCTATCGTCTAGAGTCCATTTATGCCCAGTTCTAGACACTGTCATTAAAACCCGAAACTCATATACACATGCAACATCAACGATGAATGAGCAGACAAAGTGATGTTTTGTGATTTGAATCCAATATGCTTGGACTGATAATTTACCTGAGCCTTGTGCACCTTCATGGTAAGGTGAGGTGAAATTGGGTTTAACGCCGCGTCCAAGATTATTGCACTTATATAGCGACGTGCATATACGTGTGTTTGTCTGTGTGGCTGCTTGTACTGATGCCGATTTATAGTGCTAGGTCGCTGAGATACCATGCCGCAGTTTAACATGAATACCCAACTCAGACACAGTATACTGACTCCGAGCCGACCAGTCCTTGTTTTAGCCCCTTAATGCCGAACGCCAGACAGAGTAGCAACAAGTACCATCTTTTAACGTCTTTTGGTATGATGCGGCTAGGGATCGAACCCCGGACCTTCCGCTCTCCGGGCAGACGCTCTACCACTATACCACGGACGCGGTCGTCCACCTTCAAGTGTTATAGCTTCAAAATAAAATATACGTGTTGATATTGGGGCTGGTTTATTTCCGTTATTATTTAAAATGAAAGTATCTAAAGGTAGCAAGGTCACAACATTTTAGACAAAGGCGAAAACCCTTTGTTTGCATCTATTTACCCAGCAATGAATGGGTACCCGGTAGAATGAGACAGTAATATGGCTGTAAACCTTCTAGCGCCTTTAACCTAACATGTGCTGTATACGTCACAGGAGAGAATGAAATGCGAGAACACATTAATGCAGTGACCAGGGTAATAATGATTTAGCCCCATGAACATTCACTTGTTGAATCATGCACAAAACGGAAAATCAACATGTGCCATAAGCATTTTATTGACATATCGCTCTATTGAAAGTAATATTTTCAATGAATACTAGTCGTTAGTCATATGACGTTAACGGAACGATTGACATCTCAATAGGTTCAATAGGTTTGAGTGAAACCTCAAGGTGAATTGAAAAACGGACTAAATGACTTACATATATAGATTCGACATGAATATTAAATTGAAAAACTGGTAACTGATAAACTAGTCTGTCTATTGACGATTTTCCTTTCATGTATTTTATGTTCCTGTTCATAACATGGTTATTGCAATAGAAGCGTTTATTTTTTTCCGTTTCCATTTTTTTGAAATTGGTTTGATCATGCTGGTATTTTCGAATTTCTTACTGATAACGATTACATATTATTTCTACTACATTTACTACAGTAAGTGTGAAAAGCACTGAGGTCTCGGGCGCCGCAATTGATGCAACAAAAAATTCGTGGGTTCGAATCCCAGATTTACCCTGTCAAGTCATGTCAGCTCGAGGTTTCACTCACGTGGTCAACGTCTCACCATTCCCCCTTCCTATTAAACACGCGGTGATATGACAGAAATACGGTTCAAAGCATTGTTACAAACAACGCACTCGTATATACTCCATACACATGTATGCTTCTTATTTAATCTTATTATTGTTTAGTATTCACAGCTTGTTAATCGTAGTTCATAAGTGAATACTTGACTTTAATTGTCTTACACAATTTATTAAAGCAAACATGGTTTAAATGTTCCTAAATCATTTGTCTACAGACTGAAGTACTTGATGTATGTGACATATATCCACCATCCCTGATCATGATTAATTATCATAAAACGATAGTACAGTCAGATGAAGGTTTTCTTGAAATTAAAAACTGACAATATTTCAGTCAAAATGTTTGGTGGCTAGATCTTGCCTCTCCTACCAATCGAAGATTCAGATTTGGTTTTGTTTGTTGTTTTACGCCGCACTCAGCAATATTCCAGCTATATGACGGCGGTCTGTAAATAATCGAGTCTGGACCAGACAATCCAGTGATTGATGTCATGAATCAACCAAGTCAGCGAGCCTGACCACCCGATCCCGTTAGTCGCCTCTTACGACAAGCATAGCTGCCTTTTACGGCAAGCATGGGTTGCTGAAGACCTATAATTCTACCCCGGATCTTCACGGGTCCGAAGATTCAGAACAGAACTCTTAGCTTAGAATTCTCCGTATAACTTAAAGGACTAAAACGTACAATCGTAAACGAGAGGAGAAAGTGTTTTTGTCAGGTACAGAATGAATAGGGTTTTAAAAATATTTTTCCCTTTCAATATGTAACGACAATGGGCATGAATGAACAGTCAGATATGGTTTTTTACTGTTAACACATTTACAATGAGAACCTACACATTCTAGAGTAATGATCAATACTTTCGAAATGCCCGTTTTGACAGGTATTGCGTGCGTGTATTTACACGCTAGAAGGATGCGTCATATAGTAAACAAGATTTCCGGAAAACCTAATGGTCTTCTCTGAAAGATCGTTTGAACGTTCCAAGAGCAATCAATGCAAGCTACTTTTGTACTATTAGTCTGATTAACATTCATCAGAATACCGTCTAACCTACACTTTGTAGATTATTGTATAGGATATTTACAGTAATGTTATGACGTCGATAACTGTTCAGCCCTGCGTGCTTCGAGGAATTACAGATGATCTTTTCAGAGGAAGTAAGCCTTGGCGAGGAACTTTCAGCATTTATTGAAAAGGGACAGGTACTCCTAAATTATTCTGGTTTTTTTTCTGATAAAACGTAGAAAATGTAGCTTTAAAGGGCAAAGTTTGGGCCTATTTTGGCCCACGATATATGCATTATTCAGGACAGGGGAAAAATCTGTTCAAATCATTATTAAAATTCCTGTAAGTGGGAAGCAAAGTTTATTCATTTCACTGTTGCACGCTTCGGATTTATGAGGTGAGGTGAGATGAAATTGGGTTTAACGTCGCGTCCAAGATTATTGCACTTATGTAGCGGCGTGCATGTACGTGTGTTTGTTTGTGTGGCTGCTTGTACTAGTCCGGACTGATGCCGATTAATAGTGCTAGCCCACTGAGATACCATGCCGCAGTTTAACATGAATACCCAACTCAGACACAGTATACTGACTCCGAGCCGACCAGTCCTTCTTTTAGCCCCTTAATGCCGAGCGCCAGACAGGGTATCAACAAGTACCATCTTTTAACGTCTTTTGGTATGACGCGGCTAGGGATCGAACCCCGGACCTTCCGCTCTCCGGGTGGACGCTCTACCACTAGACCACGTACGCGGTCGTCAAACTTCAAGTGTTCTGGTAACCAACACTGCATGTTAGAGCGTTAGAATCAAATAAAATATACGTGTTTATATTGGAGCTGGTTTATTTCCGTTATTATTTAAAATGAAAGTATCTAAATCTTGAAAGGTCACAACATTTTAGACAAAGGCGAAAACTATTTGAAATAGACTTTTGTCAAAGATGAATGGGTGACCATTTTCAGCAAGGTTGATTTTTTAGAGTTACTGAGGCTTTGGTCTGCCCCACACTGAAATACAGATTAGCGACAGGAGAAAGCCTTTGTTTGCATCTATTTACCAAGCAATGAATGGGTACCCGGTAGAATGAGACAGTAATGTGGCTGTAAACCTTCTAGCGCCTTTAACCTAACATGTTCTGTATACGTCACAGGAGAGAATGAAATGCGAGTGCACACTGCTCCAGTGACCGGGGATATAATGATTTAGCCCCATGAACATTAACTTGTTGAATCGTATGACAGTATGAATGAACATACTATTATTGTTATTATTACAACATACACTCATGCACAAAACGGAAAATCAACATGTGCCATAAGCATTTTATTGACATATCATTCTATTGAAAGTAATATTTTCAATGAATACTAGTCGTTAGTCATATGACGTTAACGGAACGATTGACATCTCAATAGGTTCAATAGGTTTGAGTGAAACCTCAAGGTGAATTGAAAAACGGACTAAATGACTTACATATATAGATTCGACATGAATATTAAATTGAAAAACTGGTAACTGATAAACTAGTCTGTCTATTGACGATTTTCCTTTCATGTATTTTATTTTCCTGTTCATAACATGGTTATTGCAATAGAAGCGTTTATTTTGTTCCGTTTCCGTTTTTTGAAATTGGTTTGATCATGCTGGTATTTTCGAATTTCGTACTGATAACGATTACATATTATTTCTACTACATTTACTACAGTTAGTGTGAAAAGCACTGTGGTCTCGGGCGCCGCAATTGATGCAACAAAAAATTCGTGGGTTCGAATCCCAGATTTACCCTGTCATGTGAGCTCGAGGTTTCACTAACGTGGTCAACGTCTCACCATTCCCCCTTCCTATTAAACACGCGGTGATACGACAGAAATACGGTTCAAAGCATTGTTACAAACAACGCACTCGTATATACTCCATACACATGTATGTTACTTATTTAATCTTATTATTTTTAAGTATTCACAGCATGTTAATCGTAGTTCATAATTGAATACTTGACTTTGATTGTCTTACACAATTTATTAAAGCAAACATGGTTTAAATGGTCCTAAATCATTTGTCTACAGACTGAAGTACTTAATGTATGTGACATATATCCACTATCCCTGATCATGATTAATTATCATAAAACGATAGTACAGTCACATGAAGGTTTTTTCTTGAAATTAAAAACTGACAATATTTCAGTCAAAATGTTTGGTGGCTAGATCTTGCCTCTCCTACAAATCGAAGATTCAGATTTGGTTTTGTTTGTTGTTTAACGCCGCACTCAGCAATATTCCAGCTATATGACGGCGGTCTGTAAATAATCGAGTCTGGACCAGACAATCCATTGATTGATGTTATGAACATCGATCGCAACTGGGATCGATGACATTAATCAACCAAGTCAGGAAGCCTGACCACCCGATCCCGTTAGTCGCCTCTTACGACAAGCATAGCTGCCTTTTACGGCAATCATGGGTTGCTGAAGACCTATAATTCTACCCCGGATCTTCACGGTTCCGAAGATTCAGATCGGAACTCTTAGCTTAGAATTCTCCATATAACTTAAAGCACTGAAACGTACAACCGTAAACGAGAGGAGAAAGTGTTTTTGTCAGATACAGAATGAATAGGGTTTTAAAAATATTTTTCCCTTTCAATATGTAACGACAATGGGCATGAATGAACAGTCAGATATGGTTTTTTACTGTTAACGCATTTACAATGAGAGCCTACACATTCTAGAGTAATGATCAATACTTTCGAAATGCCCGTTTTGACAGGTATTGCGTGCGTGTATTTACACGCTAGAAGGATGCGTCATATAGTAAACAAGATTTCCGGAAAACCTAATGGTCTTCTCTGAAAGATCGTTTGAACGTTCCAAGTTGTGGGTGGTCTAATAACAACTGCGACACTACACTGAGCAATCAATGCAAGGCTACTTTTGTACAATTAGTCAGATCAACATTCATCAGAATACCGTCTAACCTACACTTTGTAGATTATTGTATAGGATATTTACAGTAATGGTAGGACGTCGATAACTGTTCAGTCCTGCGTGCTTCGAGGAATTACAGATTTCTGTTCAGAGGAAGTAAGCCTTGGCGAGGAACTTTCAGCATTTATTGCAAAGGGACAGGTACTCCTAAATTATTCTGTTGTTGTTTCTGATAAAACTTATAAAATGTAGCTTTAAAGCTACATTATGGCCCGCGATGTATGCATCATTCAGGACAGGGGAAAAACTGTTCAAATCATTATTAAAGTTCCTGTAAGTGGGAAGCAAAGTTTGTTCATTTCACTGTTGCACGCTTCGGATTTATGAGGTGAGGTGAGATGTAATTGGGTTCAACGTCGCGTCCAAGATTATTGCACTTATATAGCGGCGTGCATGTACGTGTGTTTGTTTGTGTGGCTGCTTGTACTAGTCCGGACTGATGCCGATTTATAGAGCTAGCCCAGTGAGATATCATGCCGCAGTTTAACATGAATACCCCACTCAGACACAGTATACTGACTCCGAGCCGACCAGTCCTTGTTTTAACCCCTTAATGCCGAGCGCAAGACAGGGTAACAACACGTACCATTTTTTAACGTTTTTTTGTATGACGCGGCAGGGCCGATTTATGACAACAATCAATAAGGCTAACTTTGCTAAAAAGGCTGAGTTTCGAGTGTTATAGGAACCTATTTGTAACATTTGAACAAGAGCAAGTCTCTTGGCTGATTTTTCTGGGACATATGGAGGGCATTTCCAAATTTTACGCATCAGAGACAAAAATGATCACCCCTGAAATATAGTTCCCTATATTGAAGTGTACCATATGTTCCTGCGTTTTCCAGGTGTACAATTAACTTGACTTTGCATGTATGTGGCAGGATAAACTCACATTTCCGTGAACACCTGGTATCATCACGATTTGATAGTGATTCATAAACACATGATATGATGTAGTCGAAATCGTACAATCGACTCTGCTTTTGGCGGAGTTTTCTCTTGCATATGAAAAGGGTTTTCTCGCTTTAACTCATTTTGAGATATGGATGAGGATGGTAAAAAACGTGGTACAAGATTCATTTTTGGTCAAAGACTTGCTCATACTATGTTTTTCCCCAGAGGTTCTAATATCGTCTTTTCTCTCTCATTTTGGCCATTCTATGTTCTATATATAATGTTATAGTCCAAAAAGTGCAAGTGTAAGAAAGAAGAAAGGCTAGTTGTCTTTTAATGTTTATATCAATACTTCAATGTTTTGTGCAACTTTAAAATGTCAGTTTTTCAAAAAGGCCAATAGGTCTATTATGATACCCCCTCCTTTCCTGATCTCAAGTTGGTTGGTTTGTTTGTTGTTTAACGCCGCAGTCAGCAATATTCCAGTTTTCTGACGGCTGTCTGTAATTAATCGAGTCTGGACCAGACAATCAAGTGATTGATATCACGAGCATCGATCCACGCAATTGGGATCGATGACATGCAGCAACCAAGTCAGCGAGCCTGACCACCCGATCCCGTTAGTCGCCTCTTACGACAAGCACAGTCGCCTTTTACGACCCGTTGTTGGAACGAGCCCACAGAAAATCGATTGTGACGTCATGAACAATATATGAAATCATCTTCGCAATGAATGAAAACAATGAAGCACTCAGAACGAACTTGTCAATCAGCATGAAGCGAAAATATAAAGCTCCGCGAATGGAATTAAAACTCAGCTGAAATAATTGATGGAAATAATTTCTCTTATGCCCGTACCCCTTAGGGGTAATAAATCTCATTTGTGACCAAGGAATTGTAGTTCTTGTAGGACCCCTGTGTCTATGGTTTCTAAGTCAAGTTAAAGGGAAATACTAATACTCCGGAAAAACCGCACCAGGGAAATTATCCCGATTAATAAATGTGAGTTATAATGCATCAGGGATGCTGCTAATATCACGTTGTATTCGTGTTGGCGCTTACAACATCTTCTTTGAGGCAGGGTGTTCGGGCAGTTGAGTCATGACTTAGGGGAGGCCATGCTTACCCTTTTCGCGACCACCTGGTGTCACTGATTCTCAGGGATCCATTCATATAATTTCCATAGTTTATTTTGCCTCCTACGCCCAGATAATCCAGACTGGTTATTCTCTGGCTTTGACGTTTTCTGCTTACAGTGTACTGTAGCCTAGAACGTAAAGGCCAGTAAACATACTAGAACATAATAGTAAGGAGAAAAAAACACTGTGTGGATATGGGAAGGGTGTTTAGGTAAAGGAAACAACACGGTATGATGTTTTGAGCTCAATATTCATACCTAGTCGACGCTATAACTTTTCAAATTAACATTAACGTAGAACGATGTAGTGCAATAACTGTGCGATATTTGCACGTTTGCGATTGTCAATACTGATTTGTCAGCTGCAGCTATGTGACGTCATCCGTTCTACATGACGTCATAAGTTTATTATGTTGCGTCATCATAACAATTACCTGGCTTCAGTGACGTTTCTCTGTAGGGTTGGCATTTCATACGTTTTTTCTTAACGTGTCAATGTGTAATTAAGATTAACATCCTTGAAATTTGGAACTGCGGATTATCTGCCACCTTGTGAATAAATGGTGGACTTTACTCGGGACGGGGGGCGGTGGGGTAGCCTAGTGGTTAAAACGTTCGCTCGTCACGCCGAAGATCCGGCTTCGATTCCCGACATGGATACAATGTGTGAAGGCCATTCCCGCCGTGGTATTGCTAGAATATTGCTAAAAACGGCGTAAAACCATACTCACTCACTCACTCGGGACGGATCAACCGTTCGGTAATTCGTCACAGTTCGTCGCTTATTTTCCAAAACACACTAGTTTGTCTGGCCAAAACGTAATTATGTAGCTGGAATATAGCTTATTGTTCCGTTAAACAAACTTCGAAACATGCAAATTGCATTTCATTAATATTAAGTAGAAATATTTAATATGTATTGTTATCTCCCCCCCCCCCCCCCCGGTTAAGAATTTGCATCACTAACAGTTGCTTGTCTTAAAGGGCTACTACTCGACCCCTTGGTTGATGTATGGCATCGGATCCCCATTGCGCAGATCGATGCTCATGATGTCAATCACTGGGCTATCTGGTTCAGAATCGAATATTTACACACCTCCGTCATATAGCTGGAATACTGTTAAGTGTGGCGTTAAAGATCAAACTTAAAAAAGTCACAGGGTGTACATGTTGTAAGAACAGAGCATTGTAGATCGAATGATTACAAAGTGTGACATGACGTACTGTCTGTCTCATGTGGACCGTTGATCAAACTGTTAACAAATGATTTGTCTGGCCCTGATTCGATTATTTACTAGCTGTGGTAATATAGCTGTTATATGGCTGACTGGGACGTTATACACCATTTTCGTGGACAATAAACGAATATATCGATCCTGTTCGCATGAGTTCACATGTATGCACTCGTCCGCCCCCTGAGTAAATGCGAACTTGTATATAATACCCTTTTCTTTGACCATGTTATAGGTTCTGCCAAATACTTCTGTTGTTCCTCTCGGTGTAGCCTTGACTGTGTATATTCTATACGCGATATCGCGGGTGTCATTGTTTTGAATTAGATTCAGGTAAGCTCCAGCGTACATAAAACGATTCAAAAGTCAACAGAAGATTATGTCCTTGTCACACACCCATTAAAACACACTTGTCGAACTTCCAAAAAATTATTTACGAGAAAGGTCGTTTATAAAAGGGAACAGGAAAATAGTGTTGATCAATGAGCTAAAATAGACTTTCAAAGGTAGCATATCGAATGACAGCTATACTCTCTTTTCAGAGGACAATGGCCGAGGGGACTTGAAATGGAAAACGTCCAACTTGACAACCATACGCTAATAGTTTGACGCCATGCCTCCAAGTTCGACGCTGACATCAAGCCCTGACCAGTACGGGTTCCGATACTGGTGCAGCTTCTGCAGCAAGTCCTTTGCCAAAGGGAAGAGGTTTTACGCTCACCATGGGGTTCTCAATGGGAATGGGCCCAAATATGGCCTGTTTTGTACCGTGAAGATCTTTCGTTACAAAAGAGGATCGGAACGACTGTGTGACGTTGAAATACAAAAGTCACGAAAAGTTCAGGAACTGTGCCAAAGCTTTGGCATTGAAAATGGCATGAAGAAGATACAATTTGTATCTCTTGTTAAAGCTCATATGGACGAAATATGGACGCCCATTTTCCCGTGTTCCTCTTCTTGGAATAGACCGTTGTTCCGCGACGAGTGGGTCCTCATTGAAGACTTTCTTGGCAAGAGGTTTCAATGGTTCGTTGGTTCAGATGGCTCCCTCCCAAAGCTGTCCCGAACAAGACAGACACTGAATGCCTTTGTCCACTATTCCTTCCATTGCACTTCAGGTTCTCTTGTGGTCTGTGGGCTGCAGGGAAGCGTCACAGAAGGTTGTTACATGCTTAAAACACCCACCATCCACTCCGTGAGCGAATCGTATGGAGATACCGATAAAGGCATACGGGGGATAGAAGAGGTGTTTCACCACCACAAGTGTAATTATATATGTAAGGACTTTATCATTCCGGAATACAATAGGGCAGATGCTGTAGGTTCTTGTGATGACGTTACCAGTGAAGGTGCTTCAGAGGAATGCTTGGTCGGGATTGATTCATCGTGCGACTCGCTCCTCATGCCGAGCAGACCAATCTCAGCAGCGCCCCCTCCTTACATGGATGTTTTCAACAATTGAGAAATATGTGACTGAAAAAAAGATTGTTTAATTAGGCCGTTTTAATGGTATGTGTTTCTCATTTCTCGCCGGATCCAAATTACTGTCCTGCTATAAAATAACAAAAGTTTCTATTTCACGCTATTCGCATACTTGAATATAAATTTATATGATGAATCTTATACAGTAAACTACGGTTATAGCGAACACGCTTATAACGAACTGACGGATATAACGAACTTACTTATTTGGTCCCGACTATTTGCTGTAGTTGTTCTGTATATATGCTTATAACGAACTACGGTTATAACGAACTAAAATTAGTAGTCCCCATGAGTTCGTTATAACCGTAGTTTACTGTAAATATCAATGATATGAACGCGTTTCCCCTTTCGATCAAATAATCTTCGCTGCACTTTATCATACAGATATTCGAGGGCTGTAACTGATCATTGGTTTGGTTTAATCTTTTTTATCTTCCTTTTTAACGGTTCAAGCACTCCACACCGATACAACAAAAGAATACAGTACAATAACAATCGAATTGTGAATATATTTGTATCAAACGGTAAACTCATCAACAAAGGTCATTTAAAAAGACATTCATTCGCCCGCCCGTTCAATCTGAAGCTGGGAATGGAGATGAGAAACACAAACTAATAACAATGGCCTTATAAACAAGTGGAGAATTACTGTGAATGAACGGATGTCACACACGTGATACAGGACAGTATTAACTTAAAGCATTAACAAGCCATATCCCGACGGTTTTCAAGCACACTGTCTATAAGATGTCTTACCTTCCGACTAGTTCTTGTACACAATTAAACATAATGAAGAAACCTTCTCACTGTTCATTTACCGGGTATCGGATGTCTGTTGTGACAGTCGACTAATGAGGATCGGATGGTTACAATGTGTGGCATGGCTGATTGTGTGTCTTGTGTGTAGAGCAGATCAATGAGGATCGGATGGTTACAATGTGTGACCTGGCTGATTGTGTGTCTTGTGTGTAGAGCCGAACAATGAGGATCGGATGGTTACAGAGTCTGACCTGGCTGATTGTGTGTCTTGTGTGTAGAGCCGATCAATGAGGATCGGATGGTTACAATGTGTGACCTGGCTGATTGTGTGTCTTGTGTGTAGAGCCGATCAATGATGATCGGATGGTTACAATGTGTGACCTTGCTGATTGTGTGTCTTGTGTGTAGAGCCGATCAATGAGGATCGGATGGTTACAATGTGTGACCTGGCTGATTGTGTGTCTTGTGTGTAGAGCCGATCAATGAGGATCGGATGGTTACAATGTGTGACCTGGCTGATTGTGTGTCTTGTGTGTAGAGCCGATCAATGAGGATCGGATGGTTACAATGTGTGACCTGGCTGATTGTGTGTCTTGTGTGTAGAGCCGATCAATGAGGATCAGATGGTTACAATGTGTGACCTGGCTGATTGTGTGTCTTGTGTGTAGAGCCGATCAATGAGGATCGGATGGTTACAATGTGTGACCTGGCTGATTGTGTGTCTTGTGTGTAGAGCCGATCAATGAGGATCGGATGGTTACAGAGTCTGACCTGGCTGATTGTGTGTCTTGTGTGTAGAGCCGATCAATGAGGATCGGATGGTTACAATGTGTGACCTGGCTGATTGTGTGTCTTGTGTGTAGAGCCGATCAATGATGATCGGATGGTTACAATGTGTGACCTGGCTGATTGTGTGTCTTGTGTGTAGAGCCGATCAATGAGGATCGGATGGTTACAAGTGTGACCTGGCTGATTGTGTGTCTTGTGTGTAGAGCCGATCAATGAGGATCGGATGGTTACAATGTGTGACCTGGCTGATTGTGTGTCTTGTGTGTAGAGCCGATCAATGATGATCGGATGGTTACAATGTGTGACATGGCTGATTGTGTGTCTTGTGTGTAGAGCCGATCAATGAGGATCGGATGGTTACAATGTGTGACCTTGCTGATTGTGTGTCTTGTGTGTAGAGCCGATCAATGAGGATCGGATGGTTACAATGTGTGACCTGGCTGATTGTGTGTCTTGTGTGTAGAGCCGATCAATGAGGATCGGATGGTTACAATGTGTGACCTGGCTGATTGTGTGTCTTGTGTGTAGAGCCGATCAATGATGATCGGATGGTTACAATGTGTGACCTGGCTGATTGTGTGTCTTGTGTGTAGAGCCGATCAATGAGGATCGGATGGTTACAATGTGTGACCTGGCTGATTGTGTGTCTTGTGTGTAGAGCCGATCAATGAGGATCGGATGGTTACAATGTGTGACCTGGCTGATTGTGTGTCTTGTGTGTAGAGCCGATCAATGAGGATCGGATGGTTACAATGTGTGACCTGGCTGATTGTGTGTCTTGTGTGTAGAGCCGATCAATGAGGATCGGATGGTTACAATGTGTGACCTGGCTGATTGTGTGTCTTGTGTGTAGAGCCGATCAATGAGGATCGGATGGTTACAATGTGTGACCTGGCTGATTGTGTGTCTTGTGTGTAGAGCCGATCAATGAGGATCGGATGGTTACAATGTGTGACCTGGCTGATTGTGTGTCTTGTGTCTAGAGCCGATCAATGAGGATCGGATGGTTACAATGTCTGACCTGGCTGATTGTGTGTCATCGTGCACTGATGTCGTGGATCCTCGCTCATCTATTTAAACACTGGGTTGTCTAACCCAGACTGGATTGATTACAGGTCGCGGTACTACGGGCGGAAATTACTGACTGTGGCGTAAAACACCATTTACTCAAACACTCGCTCTGTGTTTTTCATCATTGTTTCTCAAGCCAACAAACCTTTGGCAAAATTAGAGTGTTTCGCAAATTATCAATCACTGGTTTGTCTGGTCCGGATTTGTTTATATACGATCAGCTGTCATGCAGCTAAAATATCGCAGATTGTGGCGTGAAACAACAAAAAAGAAGCAAAACCAACACACACCCCAATCATGTTCTGGTAGTTTAAGGTTTTCTTTTAAATAATTTCATTTTTTTTATGAAATCATGAATTATGAACCAGTGTAATGAGTTATTGTTATATAAATATATTGTATTATGTAATTCGTATGTTATTTATTTCATGACCGCCTCCTCGGTTTAGTGGATAGAATGTCAGCTCGGAGAGCGGAAGGTCGGTAGTTCGATTTGTGGTCATGTCATGCCGAAAGACGTTAAAAGATGGTGCTTGTTGTTACCCTGTCTGGCGCTCGGCCTTTAGGGGCTAAACCAAGGAATATGTCTGTATTAGTTCACGCAAGCACGCACGCACGCAGGCACGCACACATTCACTCACTCATAATCTTGGAAGCAACGTTGAACATGTTGAAATATATTGTATTATGTAATTCGTATGTTGTTTATTTCATGACCGCCTCCGCGGTTTAGTGGATAGAATGTCAGCTCGGAGAGCGGAAGGTCGGTTGTTCGATTTGTGGTCATGTCATGCCGAAAGACGTTAAAAGATGGTGCTTGTTGTTACCCTGTCTGGCGCTCGGCCTTTAGGGGCTAAACCAAGGAATATGTCTGTATTAGTTCACGCAAGCACGCACGCACGCAGGCACGCACACATTCACTCACTCATAATCTTGGAAGCAACGTTGAACATGTTGAAATATATTGTATTATGTAATTCGTATGTTGTTTATTTCATGACCGCCTCCGCGGTTTAGTGGATAGAATGTCAGCTCGGAGAGCGGAAGGTCGGTTGTTCGATTTGTGGTCATGTCATGCCGAAAGACGTTAAAAGATGGTGCTTGTTGTTACCCTGTCTGGCGCTCGGCCTTTAGGGGCTAAACCAAGGAATATGTCTGTATTAGTTCACGCAAGCACGCAGGCACGCAGGCACGCACACATTCACTCACTCATAATCTTGGAAGCAACGTTGAACATGTTGAAATATATTGTATTATGTAATTCGTATGTTGTTTATTTCATGACCGCCTCCGCGGTTTAGTTGATAGAATGTCAGCTCGGAGAGCGGAAGGTCGGTTGTTCGATTTGTGGTCATGTCATGCCGAAAGACGTTAAAAGATGGTGCTTGTTGTTACCCTGTCTGGTGCCCGGCATTTAGGGGCTAAACCAAGGACTATGTCTGTATTAGTTCAGGCAAGCACGCACGCACGCACGCAGGCACGCACACATTCACTCACTCGTAATCTTGAAAGCGACGTTGAACACCATGTCACCTCACTTATTAATTTTATACAACGAAAACATAACCCCGAGGCTCAGTGAAATCATCCGGACTAACAAGCCTTGGAAACGTAGTACTGTCTACGTACATACTTTCTAAACAATTATGGTTCGGATCGCAGGGTTTCCGGGGTATCGAGGTGTAACTGTACACTCAAGCATGGCCTTGTGTCTCTTATTTCAAGTTTCATCACCGGTCTTGTGCCTCTGCCTTTTCATTCAGGTTCCCCTCAAACCACGTGTTTCTGTCAAGTAGTGGTGTCAAGTATATATGGCCACGCTATTGCCAAGCGTTGTGAAGTCTACGCCGAGCCTGATGTGAAAGGAAGTCTATTGCCGTTGCCTGAACTCGTAACTCAACGGGCCTACATTATCGTGACTTCACATGCATCCGTTATACACGACCACAGACAAAAGCGGAAAGTCATCAGATACGCCCATCCGAGACCCAGTAAGAGATATTATCCATATTGATATTAAATATAAATAACTGTCCTAGTCCCAAATGGTGTAATAATAATAATAATAATAATAATAATAATCACCACCATCATCATAATCGTCGTCATCATCATCATCATCATCATCATCATCATCATCATCATCATAACAGCAGTGGTGGGGTTGGTAGTTGTAGTCCGTCTTGATACTACTACGACTGCATTCATTTTGTATACTCAGCTCCCTGAGGAGAACACACCCAAAGCTGCTTGTTAGCCTACAGAATATTTGCATGCACATTTCATTCTACCCGGTACCCATTCGCTGTTGTGGAGAAAGCAAATTTAAAAGAATGACCTGTCAATGGTTACTCAAACCGTCTCCTTGTTCTAGTGGATAGAATGCCGGCTCGACCCGTGAAGATCCGGGGTAGAATATAAAGGGTATAGCTGGAATATTGCTGAGTGCGGCTTTAAACAATAAACGAACGAACGAACGAATGCCTGCTGGGATAACGGAAGGTCGGTGGTTCGATCGCCTGGCCGCCCCATACCTAAATACGTTAAAAGATGTACTTGGTGTTACCCTGCCTTGCGTTCGGTATTAAAGGGAGAAAACAAAGACTGGTTGGCTCGGATTATACTGAGTCGGAGCTAGTTATCCATGTTAAACTGCGTCATGATATTTTAGAAGACTAGCACTGTACAAGCGACAGAAGTCTGTGTTACGACGTAAATTGTTATAACGCGTAATTTGTAATAAACTGCGGTAAAATGTAATAAACTGCGGAAAGATGTAATAAACTGCGGTAAATTGTCAAAACTGTGGTAAGATGTAATAAACTGCGGGAAATTGTAATAAACTGCGGTAAGATGTAATAAACTGCGGTAAATTGTCATAAACTGCGGTAAGATGTAATAAACTGCGGGAAAATGTAATAAACTGCGGAAAGATGTAATAAACTGCGGTAAATTGTCATAAACTGTGGTAAGATGTAATAAACTGCGGGACAATGTAATAAACTGCGGTAAGATGTAATAAACTGCGGTAAATTGTAATAACATTGTGGTAAATTGTAACAACACTGCGGTAAATTGTAATAACACTGTGATAAAATGTAATAACACTGCGGTAAAATGTAATACAAACTGCGGTAAATTGTAATAACACTGCGGTAAATTGTAATAAAAACTGCGATAAAT